TTGGTTTACTAGAGAATATATCGTGTCCCAATACTCATTATTAGCTGTATTTTTTTGATCGCACGTTATTACTTATACTACTGTTTATCTTTAGCCAAAGGTTATCAAAATTATTCAGCTTTCGGTATTCGGCCAAATATTCGGCTGGATAATACTATCGGCCGAATACCGAATATAAAAAAAATGGCCGAATAGGCTGAATACCGACTAGTAGCCGAATATTCGTGGCATCTCTAGTTTTTACATTAAAAAGTGACGTGAATGGAGAGAGTAGATATAAAGCTTGCCTTGCACATGGTTTTACACAACAGTATGGAATAGACTACACGGACACATTTGCACCTGTGCTAAGGAACTTGAGATTGTTATTTGCATTATCTGTTAGTCTTCATTTAGACATAGAACATGTAGATGTCACAACTGCATTTTTAAATAGTGAGTTAAATGAGAGAATTATCATGACCCAGCCATCTATGGTCTAAAGCAAGCATCAAGAATGTGGAATAAAAAAGTTGATAAAACTTTGACAGGCTTGGGCTATCAGAAGTTTTGATATGAGTCTTGTGTTTACACTAAAAAAAAAATTTAACACAATAGTCATAATTGCTCTTTATGTGGATGATTTTCTTGTATTTTCGACTTATAGTATTGAAAGTGAAAAACTAAAACTATCATTACCTCAGAATTTTAAAATTAAAGTTCTTGGTTCAGTAAAGAAATGTTTAGGGCTAAATATTGAATTGGATGAATCCAAAAATGAGTTAAGAATCGACCAAAAACATTATATTTTGCAATTATTAGAAAAATTTGATGTGTCAGATGCAAATAGAGCATCGACAGTCGACACCTATTGAAGCTAGGTTAAAATTGGAAAAGAGTGAAAATTGTGATGACAATATTCCTTATAGACATTTAATAGGGTCACTGATGTTTTTGCCTGTTAATTCTACACCTATATTGCATTTGCTGTCAGCTATTTGAGTCAATTCAATAATTGTTTTTCTAATATTCATTTTCAGCATGCAAAGAGAGTCTTGACATATTTGAAAGGGTCTATTGATAAAAATTTAGTTTTTCGAAAACAAGATAAATTAGAAATTTCAGGCTACAGCGATGCAGATGCAGAACAACGTAAGTCAAAATCGGAGGTGCTGGGCTGCTACCAAATTATAGCCCACAGTGGAAAATATATATTATTCCTGTCCCGAAACATGATAACGCTACGGAAATCATTCTCCCTTTGAACCAATAAGCATTTTTATTTGGAGATATGTAATCTTGTCATTACTGACTTTTTAAAAATTTGGAAGTGACACTTTACCTGTGTCACTTCCCTCATCGATTTCCCTCACCGATTTCCCTATTGGACTTCCCTCACCGATTTCCCTCACTCTTATTTATTTACCTTTGCTGGCAACAATGAGAACATGTCAGGTAAAAACGTCAAAGCAGTGAATGACACATTTTGGCATGGTTGTTTTATATTTTTAATATTAAAAAAATTGATTGACTAATCATAATTAATTGTGTAATTGCAAATAAAATAGTATACAAACCTCGGAGGAAAGATTTCATTTCTGTCTCGAGATTAATAGACTATTTAAATCTCTCGTCAGTAATGAAACACTTCCCTACTCGGTATGTAATATACTATTCCTTGTTTTTCTAAAATCTTGGAAATAATTATGTTTGGGCAACTTAATGATTATTTGATAAATTAAAATAATTTTCCTCAATCAGGCTTTTGTGCATCTACCGCGCTACTAGAAGTTTCGGATGATTTGTATATAGTTCCCTAGATGCTGACGAAAATTAATGTTTATTATTACTGGATTACAGTAAAGCTTCTGAGAATACCTATCGACCACGCCATTTTATGTGCTAGATTGGAATACTTCGTAGTCCTGTTGAAATGAATTATTGGAGAAACTATTTGAGCGATCAGTTCTCAGAGAGCATCCACTGATCAGGAATTGTCAGGTTTGGCGAAAGTGAGTCGGGGAGTTCCACAGGGTAGTGTTATGGGTCCACTCTTATTTTCGAACTTACCTTAATTGGATGCAATCCCATCAATGTACTGACGATACCCATCAGTTATATTATTCATCCCGAAAAAAAACTGGAAAATTGCTGCTATAATATACCTACCGCGTAACTTCTGATTTAGCTATTGCTTGTAATTTGTGAATTATCTAGGGCGCGTGGTCTACTTAAGCAGTCGAAAACTAATTTGTTATTTTTTGGGTAGAGACTACAAGGTTTTAAATTATCGACATCCAGCACCTCCCAGCACAACCAGGGTCCAGGAAATGGATCGGCTTCGGACGCAAGGGGGACGACATCCCTTGGATAAAGAGAAAAAAACATAGTTGTAAGTTTCATAAAGATATGTACCTACTAATATACTAAGCATACTATAAAAAAAATTAAATAACAGCATGAATGACTGCTGCAATTGAATTATGAATCTATAATCTACAGCACACTCGACATTCGGCAAACCAGTATTAACCAACACATGTGTAGCGTTATGATTCAGGAACCCTGATTGTACAAGGATGCGGCTGAAGGCCTGCGAGTAGGTGAACGAAAGGCTACTACTGCAACTCCATACGGAAAAACCCAGAGTCCCAGTCTCAGCAAAAGGCGTGGAATGGATACCAATGCCGGATCTATAGTCACGGTAAAGAACGAGCGAAAATTGTCGCGGTTGTTGAGAATAACATTCAGCCGGTGATTATCGGCGGCGACTCTAACTCCCACAATAGGGTAGGGATGGGAGAGCTAGGGAAGGATTTTTATCGAACCTCTACTCCAATGAGCTCTGGATATTGAGGGTGCCCACCTTTTCCATAATAGAACGACATATGACTAAAATGACTTTGTGCAGGACTTCGCTAGAAAATCACTAACTGGAAGTTGTCTTTGGGATACCAATGAAGTGGTCCATATCTGATGCCCGAAAGAACTACAAAAAATCTTTGACTTTGATCTCACAAGAAGAAACGTGTGAGGCCTTTTCCGGAGGCATCAGAGAAGAGGTACTGGGAGAATTTCCTTTGCACCAATATGGCTGGCAAGTACCAGGCCGAAAAGTTCACGGAAATGGTCGACAGAGTGGAGTGTGACGGAACTAGCTATTGCCTCTTTTTGGGCTTTAGTAAACCGCACCAGGGATGCCAAAAGTTTTTACTTTGACTGACTGTAAAAATTAACCATTAGGTGTTGGATCATTTAAGCCTTGTATTGGGTTAGGGGTTGCCTTGATTCTCATTTATACAAATAAAACGCTGAAATAGAATAATTATCAATTTAATTAATAAATGAAAGTAATTCGGTATGGTTATCGAATGTAATACCACAAGAGGTTTCAGGATTACCGGATAATACTTTTACCTGTCACGAAACGCGTTACGCAGCAACACCACGACTCCGAAGGAGGAGTGGTGTTGCTAGTAACGCGAAGAGTGTCAGGTAAAAGTATTGGTAATCCTGAAACATCGAGTGGTATTCAAAAGGTTATACGAGCTAAACTTTAATGGGTACTTTAAAATTAAAAAAAATAATCTATAATAGAATTTGCTATAAATGCGACCAAGCGCGATAATCCCAAAAGGCTTATCACTTATTAAGCCTCTCGTGTCATATGGGAATAATGTACAGTGAGTTGTATAATCAGTCAAATCCTATCTAAAAATTCCTAATTGGACGTCCAGTCGAACTACAAATTTTATACTAATCTAAAGTAAGTTTTCTAAAGTAAAGTATCTTGATTTATAAAACGTAGGGAAATCTGATAATGATAATAATATCACTTATGGTTAAATGTTCAATGAACGAGAACACAAATTAACTAATTAAATGCCCGAAAGCACAACATAAATAATTCGTCAACTTCAATCAGTTCACTGTAATCACAAAATCGAGGGCTAAACTACGGTACCTCGTAAGTACAAACGTATAAATTTTACAGGAGAGTCAAAAAACTAAATAAATTTGGGAGAAATGAATGGGTGGTGAAATAATTACACATAATTGTATCAAACAAAATGCAATAATCATAAACCAGTGAAATTGTCCAAAAAAATATGTTTTAATTACTTTTACTGGAAAATACGAGGTCCCGTCATTATTATTAGAGAACATACGAGGTCCTGTTGAAATGAATAAGTGTAAAGGCCTCAAAAAAATATTATCAGGTATTATTGAGAAAACTTTATTCATGAAAAAACAATGAAAAACATTCAATTATCATCAAATATAATAACAAACTAAAAAAAAAATCCTAAAATATTGGAAATGAAATTAAAATACCTATTAAGTGAATAATTATTATTTAAGGTGGAAAATCGTATAAAACAAACTAAAAAAAAATCCTAAAATAATGGAAATGAAATTAAAATACCTACTAAGTGAATTTCAATTTATATGGCAAAAAATCGTATAAACCAAAGTGAAAAAAATCTTAAAATAATGGAAATTTAATCAAAATACTTGGGGAATTATTATTTATAAGGTAGAAGGTCGTAGAAAGACCAGCAATCTTGAGGAATAACTTTTTTAATTTCCTGGAGATCGAGATACTTTCTTTTTGTAATGGGCAAACGAGAGGCATAAAACTGAGGGAACTTAATATCTTTAAGGTCTATTTTCGAAGGTTTGCCAGGTATAGTTTGAAATTCATCCTCATAATTTGTTTTGTAGGAAATTTCACCATTTTCGTATCGTAGAACACGTATATCAGTCACTGTTAAACCATCTGATGGCCTGATTGATTTATACTTTAGTAGTGGTTTGTGTCCAAAATTTCGGAAAAACTCGTAGGGTTTAGTCTCAACTTCATAGGGATTTTTCAGTCTTGCTTCTTTGGTAATACGATGGTAGTCGCTAGGTAAGTAAATTTCCTTACATTTTAAAGATCTCTCAATTGTAGCATGGACTGAGTCACACTCCATTTGAGTATGTCCTTTTTCTAAGAACTTTTGAAAAATAGATACTTGCTATTTCTCAGAGAGGTGGAGCAAAGCTTTAGACATAATGGAATTTCTGTTTTGAGCTGTACAGCCATCTGAGTATATAATGATAGGAAGTTTAATTCCTGGTTGTAAAAAACTATTTTCTAAGTAGTCTACTAGAAATGAGGCATACGTCGCTGCTTGACCATCCGCATTTGTCTCATCAAACCAATAACAGGTAGCTTTTTGGTTTTTCAAATTGTAAATTGTAGAATTATGATTACACAGTTTTGTTCTGTAATACAATGCACTTGCAGCTAAACATGGAGCCAGCTTTACAGCTTGAACATCCATAGTTATAACATTACAATTTCCTTCAATTGAATTATTCTTATCACGCTCTTTTTCATTCCTAGCGGCGTTCTTTTTGGAAATGTGAACTTGATATTCTTCTTCGGTTAGATTTTGATTTTTATATTTAAAGCAAGTATCGCACATATCTTTTCGTGGGTGAAATAAGGATATCTTCATATTATCAGCTGCTTTTTGAAGGGACGTGATTGATTGAGGTATTTTGTTGATTTCTTTGCATTTTCTTGAGTACTCTCGATGTAATTCTGCAAATGACTGAAACTGTTGCTCCAAATAGAGACGATCTGTGTCTTTTCTGGTATAGTGCGAAGGAAGCTTATTCAGAGATTCTAAGAATTCCTTCAAAAAAGTGGTGTCTTCTTCGTGATAATTTGTTGTTCTTCTCTTGGACATAAGTACAGAATTACTATCTGTCATTCCATAAGTGCTTTGTTGGCTCCAGTTCCTTACAGACCATTCTTTTAAGCCAGTAGTATGTAGAAACATTTGTTTACAAACTGGTATTTTGTTGTTGCCAATTGTAAGAGAATATTTCAGCGTGGTGCTACGTCTAGATTTATCATCGGCATCGGATTTTTTTGGTCTTTCTGTTGGAACATTCACCACAGATTGGGCCACAAACACCTTTCTTTGGTCCCAAGACATTTCTGACCAAAATTTTTCAAAAATCGCCTTTCTTTTTTGTTCCGTTATCAAGTAGCACCTACGCTTTTGTTCACTTTTAGTCGATTTATCTATGCATTTGCAACGTATTCCCATAATTCTCTCATTTCGCTCTGTATCATGGAAAGAGTTTTTTTGACCCGCCGGCTTTCTAAATCCCAGAAATTTTTTTCCAGTAAGTCGAAGCTTTTGGTTGATTTCTCGTTTTCTTACGCCTTTTGTTTTCTTTTTTTTACCAGGATTATTTGTAATTTCTTGTAACTTCTCCTCGTTGTTATCTGCCATGTCTTGACGTATGTGAGCATCGTTATTTTCCTGTTCTTGAACCCTGTCCATTGAAGACTCTTCATCATTATCGCTAGAAGATTCCGAACTGTCATCTATTTCAGGTGGCACATAATCCTGATCAACATTTTCTTGATCATTGATTTCTTCTGCCTCTATAAAACTCGACCCTTTCTCCACAAGCTTAACACTGGAATTTCCCAATACTTGATGAGCTTCAAATTGCGAATTATCATTGTTTTCATAATTAGTTTTTTCATTAGTATTTTGCTCATCATCAACGGCAAAAACTATTTCAGCGTTTTCGATCATATCCGCAATATTTTTTGGTGTAAGTGCTTCATTTAACAAAAAATTACCAGACAGATTAATCTCTTCTACATTGCTCACTATCTCAATGTTGTCGGATTCTATATCACTAAAGGATTCCAGACTTTGGTCTTCATTATATTTTAGTTTGGCAAGGTTTAGGATTTTTGCGGTTCTCGAAGACATTTTCGAGAAATTAATACAGTCTCTTAGGTATCTGTTAAAATTGGGTTTCTGGAACGAAAGGAGAGTATTGAAATTCAGGTAGGTAGGTGTAAATACCTAATTTGACCATTGATTATAAATAAAAATTACTCACCAAAATTTCAGCGAACTCAAAAACTAAACTCAAGCGGCAGCAAAACCTCTTAACATCAGTAATTTGGCATCTTTAACAAAAGTACCTCCTAACTAACAAGATAAATAAATAATTTAAATACTTACCTTTTAATGATAATATTTTAATATCAATTACGTTAATGATAATTAGTAAGTAATAATTATTACTATTAACTCACAAAAAAATATTAACTTACATTCAATAGTAATTACTGGCCACTTTTGGGCACAAAGTCAAGAGCAACCTGTTAACTACACAGTAATGTAACTTTATTCCCGACAGTTACGAGGTACTGCACCCAAATAATTTACATCTGCAGATAGGAGGTTTTGCATTTTTGTACTTACAAGCTACTGCCTTTTTAGAAAATATTTCGCATCTACGAGGTCCTGTTTATTATGTATTTCATATTGATGTAATCTGTTTTTTTCTTAATAATGGTACCAATAGATGGCCCTGGGTATATTACACCCAAAAATAATTAAATCTACATTTTGGAAAATATGCGAGTTACGAGGTCCCGTACTTTATTCCTCGAAATGTATATTGATCCTTGAAAGTTCTTTAATTTATTGAGAGCTAACAATTTGAGCACTTTTCTGCTGAAGTCTGTAAACAATGTTAATTTCACGAGTGTGAAAACCAAATTTCTGCATTAAACGTTAGAAAACACTTCAATTTATAGTGAATGTCGAGCGAATCACTAATCAGTATTTATTGACTTATTGTTCGACTGTTAGAGAAATTGTAACGGTCTTACTCGCTCAATCCGGTTCATGCAGATAAATCCACAAGGCGATTATTTATCCATTTATCACCACTATTCACACTGGCAGCTAGGGAATTTTCTACTGAGATGCAAAGAAAACACAACGATATATAGGTGCGTTGGGGACCGTCGAGAGTGAGAGAGATAGAGCCAAAAACAAGCGTAGGAGAGAATTTTGCTCGTCCGAGGTGACTTGCAACAATTAGGGGTTAATTACATGAATTGTAATCAATAATATAGACCATGTCAGGCCTTGAGATACAGAGAGTAGTATTTTACTATAAATTGCGCGTACTAACGGGGGTTTTCGGGGGGTTTGCTCCTGGAGAGCATTCAGAGGGCTCGAGGGTGCGAACTCTTCGCTTGTTCTATTAGTACTGAAGAATGTGCGTTGACTAGACCCTGCCAGGGGAGCAGGTCGCAAAAATCTAGAAAACAATGTGGCGGCTGACCAATCACAGCAGCGAGAAAGGTCCACTGCCTTATAAGGTAATGGAGAAGCCTGTAATTTTATTGGTTCAAAGGGTTGTTGTTGCCGGTTTTTACAGGATAAATAGTCCAGCAATGGCATCTATTTTTATAATATTATTTTTATGGTAAATAATAGAGATCGAGATATATTAAATTAGAAATAATAAAATTTAAACTTGTCGGTTATTTCCACAACAGTGGAGAGAGCGCTGGACCGAAGACATATCGTTATGGCATCGAAGCTAATTTGACTTAGCGAGACTAAACAAAATTGCATAGCTCTACTAATGGAAAGCTCTACTAATGGAAGATCTACCAACTGGCCGTGTGCACCTCTCAAGTTCTCCTATCCTAATAGAAGAGAATAACTTTATTCAGGTTTAAAAAAAGCACTGTTCTAGAACGGTTCAAAACAAATAACAATCGAACAGTTTATTATTGAAGTTTGTGATAGCCAAAGCCGAATAAAAGATTAACGGCAGCTTGAGGCTCGCCACCGGAATCATCTTGTTCACAAATAGCTTCAAGACGGGCTGCGGCGCGGGTATCTTATGCCCTTGGCTCGTATGATCCGATTTTTAGGCAAAGATATATGCCTTGCTAAAATGTAGCTATGGACACCTCCGATACTTACCTGCAAAAGGCATGCCATAGTTGATAGCAGTCATGCTCTTGAAGGAAGCGATTTTCCGTAAACCTGAGTGGCTCTGTGTTTCAGCGCGATAAGGATTGCTTGCCAAACTTGGGGACTTAAAGGGCATCGGGCTACTTCTTATGGGTCATTGTCGCTTCAATAAACATCTGAACTTAATATAGCTCTGCAAATTCCAGTAAACGGGGACGGTCACAATTGTATTGGGCCACCAACTCGCTGATCGATCATCATTATTCCATCCCATCAGTTTTTCTAATTCTGGTAGAAAGACCATTCGAAAAACCGGTGCAGTTAATTACACGCAACAGTTTCTAGAATGAATCTTTCCTTCCTCTGCTTTTTTTCTATAAAAAAAATTAAAAAAACAAACAAAACTTTCAATGTACTTATTCTATTCCATTATTATTTGTATAATAAAGACATAAAGGTGTAAATACCCTGGATGAGAAAGATCTCAATAAAAGATTAGTCAGACCAGGCCTTAACAAGCACATAATACTTAAGTAAATAAATTATTTATATAAAAATCCGAACATTCTTAAAAGTACATAAATTAAATATTACGATTGTGTGATAGCAGTGTACATAAATATCAAAGTAAGTACATGTTTATGAAGTCATGACTAAAGCTATAAAAGTATAAAGTTGAGGTTTTCAACTACTTATATAAAAAATCCTTACTTATGGGTATGGAAATATTTGTTGTATCGGCTAGGTATTTAGTTTGATTCAATGCTTTTTTCAGATTTCTATTACAATTCTTGCTGCTTCTTCCTTACATATAGAATAGGTATCCTCTATGTAGGTAGGTAGGTACCCATGTTGTGTAGGTATATCTAATCTTGTTTTTTGTTAGTTCTCCCTCTTTAAGATATTTTTTAAAGTCCTATTCAATATCGATGTGAAATGTTGGTACCTATACTTTTTTTGTTTTTACCACATAATAAAATGAGACATGAATTATTTATAAAATGGAAGCCAGTGAGAAAAAAATCTCACGAGTCGCTTATGAAAAGTACATACTTAGTTTGTAAATCTTAAACAGAATAGGTATGATTGAGCAATATGCAACGATTAGCATTATTTTCTACCGGTAAGTATGTAGTATATGGTTAATGGAACGCTATTGTTGCTACGACGTTGAATATAATGGCACATGAATAAATAGCTTCTATGAATCATATTATCGCATAGCTATTGGTGGTATGATTCCAAATAATTTTGGATAATACCTAAATTCAATTTTGATGAATATAGTGAATGTTTAACTTTAACTTATGACACCTTTAACTAATTTTTTTCATAATTGAATAAAAAAAGTTTTCTATACAAAATAATTTTAATGTTATAATTCATAAATGTGAACATCGAAATGTTCCGCGAACGTACCCCAAAATGTATGTATGACTTTTCGACATCCTCATCCTGTCTGTCATGAGTTTCATCTAAGTTTAGTTGTTGTTGTTCGTCAGCTGTAAAAGCACATTTTAGTTTATTAGAATAAACCTTTTGTAATCGTATTAAATAAAAGTCTTTAAAACAAAAGCCTCTGGTTAATAGGTTATGGGCCCAGTAACCAGGCAGTCGCGGAAATAGAGTAGTTCGCGGAAAAAACGTTTTGAAGTGGAATTTATTGTCGGTGACAAAAAGGTTAGGTAATCGCAGTTGGAGACCAGTGTAAATATGGCATCAAGTAGTGGAACAATTACCGTGAAACCTTACGATGGTTCTGGACACAGTAATTGTGAATTTCGAGTGAAATTACTACTTGAACACCATGATGTTCTGGGAGACTAGACTTGACGGAGGATCCGCCAACAGCAACAAATCTAACAGCACTCAGCGCATGGAAGAAGAAAGATCTGAAAGCACGAAATTTGATTGTTCAATGTCTAGCGGACAATGTGCTGGAGATGATTAAGTTGAAAACCACAGCTAAGGAAATTATTGAAACCTTAAGCGGAACTTATCAGAAAACAGTGGCGGCTCGTATATTAAAAATGTGGGGGTTGCAATTTCAATTGTACAATCATGCATGTTTTTCGTGAAGGTCCAGAATAAATGTCCTGGTGAAAGTCCTTTTTTTGCTAGTTACAGTTTGTTCAATTTTTAAATTTGGAGTAGGCCTTCAAAGTCTTTTTATTTCAGCCTTATCGGTTGATGAACGCTCACAGAATGGCTCGGCAATTAAATTTTGAACAGAATTCTTTTTTTTTTCACCCCCACACGACAAAACTTCACAAAACAAACCTAATCTGCGCTGCGAGCAAAAAAAATAAACAAAGTTTGCACTTAGCTTGCAACCTGCTGGAGCTTATGGAGCGGATTTCGAATCCACGCAAAAACAGGCAACCAAATGTGCGCCTTCATATAATAAATCGGTTTGCTTTGGAGCTGCAATCCAGCGACTCGACGCCGCGCCGCTACTCGAAGTCGCCGGCGCGGCGGCCTGTCAGTTATTGATATTTTGGCGAAGTTGGTGAAATTATTTTATTAATTAACTGTGTATTATGTAGGTCCCAAAATTTTGGTATAATTTATTTTTTAAATATAATTAGGTACTAAAATTTAGTTCTACTATTTTTGTTTTATATTTTTTAAGTTTTGTTTTGGGGGTTGCGCAAACCTGCAAACCTAAGGAAGAGCCGCCACTGTCAGAAAAGTGGATTGGCTACACAGGTGCAACTTCAGTGCATTTGTATATTTTGAACTTTGTAATACCAGAAATGCAAGCAAATATCACAGTGCAAGAAAACGATATTTTACACCGAAGAATGGGGCATTCGTCCAAGTACCTATCCTTGTTCGAAAATCTGCGAAAGCTGTTTACAAGGGAAACAGACAAGAAAACCATTTGTACAATTGCCGGAAGAGAGAAAGGCGAAAAGAATAGTGGAAGTGATTTCTAGTGATGTCTGTGGACCCATAAATCTAGTAACGCATGATGGTAT